AGTCCATTAGTATTTGAATGAAACAGACACAGTGGGCGGAATAAATGTAGGAAATTGATATAACCAACTTATCTAGTACATGATTAAGGTGTAATCAGATATGAGCATTATACACCATACCAAAACCGGAACCTCAGAGAAGCTACATTTTTCAAAAAATATGTGCATTATGGGAAGGACCAAAACTGGTACCTCACAGAAGCTAACTTCTTCAGCTTACACCACTGTTCTAATAGTACTGAACCCTCAAAAAGCCCAAACATAACCTTTGTCAGCACCTAAACATTCTCATAGCAATTTCTTAGGGGAAATGGGTAATGCCCTGGAAAGTGTACTGTATTGCTGTTGCATATACTAATCCAACACACTAATGGACCAACAAATGCTATATTTCACCATATTTATTATAGTATATAAGTTCTTACTACTCCTTTCTTTCACTACCCAGGTCCCAGAAATCTACTATTTTTCAGCTTGAATTATATAGTAAATAAGTTCTTCCTACTCCTTCCTTTCATCACCCAGGTCCCAAAAATCTACTATTATTCAGCTTAAAACAAGGTGAATCATGAGTCTGCGCGTCTGCCATCCTCCACTTAATTATTTATGTAATCCTACTACATAGCCATAACATGCCTCAGTAACAACCTAACTGCGGCCATCCATAAGAAATCCCACTGATTGGCTAAACAGACTGATAATCGAAGATTTATAAGAGAATTTCCAATCATATGCGGAGAAAAAGCTTCGTAATTTACCTTCGATCACCATGCCCAAAACCACCTCTAGGACTTCCACGGCGTCCATCATAGTCATCTCTACGAGAACGCTTATAAGGTGGAAATGGAGGCGAACGACGGTGAGGAGGAGAATATCCACCACGTCGGTCACGATAAGGAGGAAGAGGAGGAGGAGGGCTATGGCTAGGCCTTCCACGTTTGTAGTCACGCTCTCGACCAGGAGGATGATGAGGAGGAGAACGATTACGATCGTAATAGTCCCCACGACCACCTCTACGATCAAAATCCCTGTCATCCCTCCGTTCCCGTGAATCTCTATCACGGCCACGCCTCGACGGCGGAGGAGGAGGAGGCGGTGGTGGAGAAGATACCGGTGGCTCTTCCGTCGACTTGTTTGGATTTTCCTTGCTTCGTTCACGGCGGCGTTCTAAACCTTCCGACGGAGCGTCCATTACTTCAGCCATGGGCGGCGACGGTGGCGGTGAATCGTCGGGAAGAGAAACCCTAGCTGAGAGTGCAGTGTTTGTTTGTAGATGTGGAAATTAAGAGTGACAAATGGAGAATAAAAGATTGGTGAGGGAGTGGAAAGTAAATAAGATTTTTGAGTTTTAAGGAGATAAAAGGTTTTCATTTACAACCCCAAAAGTATTCTTCAATTACTTAATTTCCCCACAAAAAGAAGATTTTGATTTTTAACTCCACTAACTTTTTCTATTTCACTTCTACTATACAAATTTTATCCTCCATTTCCGAGTGTTTTGATAAATTTTAAAAATCTTTAAAAATAACATAGTTATAAGTTTTTTTTTTAAAAAAAAAAGGGTCATTTGTGTGTGTATGTGTTTGCGTGTATGTGCGCGTGGGTGAGTGTGCGCGAATATACGCGTACGTGTACATGTGGGTGTCTGCGCGTGTGGGTATTTATACCAAAAATAACATAAATTGTATTTAGGAGATCTAAACATATTTGAATGTGAATGAACATTTGAGAAACATGTAGTTTTTTACGAAGACACTTGTGAATCCATTTATGTGAAACAAAAATTTCTTTCTTCTGCTTTGTCTAAAAACCTTTAAGGTGTGTTTGGAAAATCAGCTTGCTAGCTGATTTGATATAATTGAGTGCAATTACATTGTATGGCATGTTTGGTTGGTCATCTATTTAATTACTTGGTCAGCAGGTAATTGAGCGTAATTGACAGAGATAATTACATTATTTTAATCATAGAGGAGTTGCGAATTGCTGATAATAATTAAATGGTGTAATTATAAGTTGATTATTTCTTCCTTATATTTCTAATTTTTTTCGTTTAAATTTATTTTTTATTTTATTATTTTAAATTCTTTTTTATTTTTATTAATATTCTAATTGTTTTCTAAAAATATACATTTATATTTTATACTATCTATATTTCATTTCCTTCTCATTATCAATCATTACTTCATATGATTTCATATAATTTTTCGTATTATCTATAAGAATTTTTTATCAGTATAATTTTGTTAGTATTTTAATTTTTAAATTAGAGTAGAATTTATTGTTGAATAAGGTTATGAACTTATATTTTTTTTTTTTTAAATCATGTTGAGGTATGTTATGTTGGAATTTGATATAAGAGTATTACATTAAATTTTTTGTTTTAAATTTATAACTTATGTTATATTTTCAATTTCATTTGTTTTAGAAGTATTGACCAGATATTTTATGTTGCATACTATTTTTTTTAGTTAGACTTGATAGATTATCTTTCTGTTAAATGTTTTTATAATTTTATGATATTATATTTATAATATTAATCTTTTTGTCAAACACGCATTTCATGATGTGCTTTTAACTTTAATAATTAATTTAATTAAAATATACTAAATAAAAAATATAAATAATTTATTTTTTATAATATTAATTAAGAACATACGTTTATTAATTAATATATTTTCAAAAGGCTATACATATCTCAAATATAATATTTAATATCATTAACAAAGATCTTTAATTATTTGTCTTATATGAATCTTGCTAAATTATTTATAAATGCTTTTAGTTTGTGTTAACTTAGATACGATACCTAATTATAAAGTTCACTAGCTCGAGTTGGATCTATGAATCCAATATCTCAATTTCACAATCATGTCCTAACTAGTTAGAGTTGGCTATATAATACAATTATTTCAATTTCACTGTTTTCAGGTCTATTTTAAATCTTGTTGATAATGAAATTTTATTAATAAATTTATATTAAATCTTAAATTTATCATAGAAAGTAAAATTATTGGTTAATAAAGTTAAATTAATATTTAATTTAAAATTATATGACTTAAATCAAGTGCAAATTATATTTGGACCAATATATCAAGTTGACAAAATGAGCTCAAATACTCATGTTCTTCAAGCCAAAGGGCCAAAATTGTTTGGACCAAAATATCTCCAAAACTCTAGTTCAAACATATATAAAGAGGTCTCTATAAGACTCTGCAAGTCTGCTTCAAATGTTGAGCCGCAAGTATTTCATCAAGTCAAAAACAATTCTGAAGAAAAGAATTAGGGAATCACATATGTTTTCTTAAAGATTTTATAAAGATGGCAGCCTTCACATAAATTTAAATACAAATACTATTGTTGCTTGTTGTTTTCCTTTCATGTTTGTTGTAATTCATGATCGAAATTTTAATGCATAATATTCAATAATAGAAAATCTGAAACTATAAGCTTTTGTTTAGATGTTAATTTTGGGATTAATGTCTCCTAATTTCTTTTGATTGTTGAGATAACATGAAGAGACATTGATAAAATTTATTTTGCATACAATTGAAACAAAGTAAAATGTATGTATATTGCATAATTATAAGTGTATAGGAAAAAGATATATGTTTTTCTCTCGCTTTATACAAAAACAGAAACACAATATATACACTTCTGTTGTATAAAGCGAGAGAAAATTGTATTTCACTACAATTGTATAATTCGCTGGCCTTTTTCGCTGCAATATTTGTATAAAATTTGCATTTGTCTACAATTGAATTGAAGTAAAATGTTTGTAAATTGTATAATTAAGTGTATAGCACGAAAATATATGTTTTTGCATGTGTATATACAATTTTTTCCCGCTTCATACAAAACAGAAACACAATTTATACACTTCTGTGTATAAAGCGAGAGAGGCGAGCAGAGGGAGAGTGGCGAACGAGATTTTTGGGAGAGAGGCGACTGACAAACTTTGGCGAACGTTTGCTATGGAGCATAATTAAATTAAACCGTAGTTACTCCATTTATTTTAGGTTATTAGTTTGCTATTATATACAATTATCCCTTATTTTTATCCATTCCATGTAAAAGTGTTTGCATTTCAATCTTATAATACCTAAAATATTTGAACGTGTTTATTTGTTACATTCTTTGGACAATTTCAATATCTAGTGATGCACAATTAAAATTAAAATTTATAGATATCAAGTATAGCCAAATAAAAAAAAATTATTTATGGAAGAATTATGGAATAAGTAAAAAATTTAACTCATTTATGAAAAGATAGAATTAGTTCAAAAATATTACAAAAGAAAAAAAACAATAACAACAATATATTGTTTTTATAACAACCTCTCTCTCCAATTGTATTCAATTAAATATATATACAAGCTTTGAATCTTATTTTAATTGTTTTTGAAAAATTGTATTTTGTATTTTTTGTATCAATTGTATTTGTAATCATACGAAATACAATATGAATTCATTCTCTCTTTCAAAATGTATTTGTATTCAAACAAAGAGAGGATGCATACAATTGTATTCGTTGTGTTCCAAATACAATTGATACAAAACAAATACAAAATACAATCCACTGGCCTCCCTCCCTCGATCTCACTCGCTTCTCTCCTCCCTATTTCGATCTCGTTCACCTCTCTCCTTTTAATATGTACTCATTTTTGATATAATCAATTTGTAGATGTATTTTTTTCTACTAAATCTGCGAATAAATACACTCTCTCTCAGATCTAGCGTCTTTACTCCCCTAATATTTTGCTATTAATCGTAATTGAATAAACTATAACTATAGAACCCTGTTTAATGCATAACGTTTGTTATTTTTGAAAGTTTTCTATTATTTATTATTTCTAAATTTTGTATTTTCATAAAAAAGATTATTTCCGTTAAAAGATAAAAATTAAAGACTAACGCAAAATAAGGAAAAAATGTGTTGGGTTGATAAAATATGGGCCGGGTATTACTATGGCAATTTGGGCTTTTAAGTCTTCAAACCCAAACCCTAGAGTACTTCATCAGCTTATATATTGCAAACCTCTTCACACATTTCTGGGTTCGTTCGCCGCCGTCGACGTAATTTGCTTCTTCAAATCCTCCATCTCCGACGTTGTTCTTTCTCACCGGAATCCACGATGGTGGCTGCAAAGAAGACCGTAAGTATCTCATTCTTCGTTCAATCGATTTGTGTGGACGAATCGGATCATGAAAATGCTAAATTAGGATTTTTTTTTTTGTGAATTTTGCAGAAGAAGACTCATGAGAGTATCAACAACAGGCTCGCTCTTGTTATGAAGAGCGGGAAGTATACATTGGGATACAAAACTGTTCTCAAAACAATTAGAAGTTCCAAAGGTATTGTTTAGTGAGCTCAATCGCTCTTTAGTTTGGGCGTAAAGTAATCTGGTGTAATTTTGATGTGGAATTTGTTATTTTGCTATGTATCAGTTCTCTGTGTTTCAAATATAGCTGTAATTTGGTGATTTTATCTTTGAGCATTATATTTGGTATGTAACAGTGCTCTGTGTTTGGAATGTAACCATAAAAGACTGATCTTATAGAAGAGAAGGGTTAATATTGAAATGAGATATAGGATTGTGTAGCATTCAAGTCTACAATTTAATAGAAGACCCTTATTGATGGCTTTTGGATAGTAGAATTTGGTGATAGAATAGTTTGGCGTTTGTCTTTCTGAGCATAATATTTGCATGTATTAGTGCTCTGTGTTTGGAATGTAGCTAGAAAAGGGCAATCTTTAGTGGGGAATGGTTAATATAGAATTGATATATGGATTGTGTAGCGTTTAATGTATCACAGACCCTTACTATTGGATGATATAATTTGGTAATTTTTTTTCTTTGAGCAGAATATTTGCTATATAGCTCTGTGTTTGGAAAGAAGCCTTGAAAGACTAATTTCTACTGGAGAATTGTTAAATGTTGAGTTGAGATATATGATGTGTAGCATTTTGAGTCAACAATATAACAGATACCCTTGTTGATGACTATTGGATGGAATAATTTGGCTATTTTCTCTTTGAGCATAATATTTGCTTTGTATCAGTGCTCTGTTTTTGGGGTGTAGACATAAAAGATTAATCTCTAGTGTAGAAGGGTTGATATCGGGATGAGATAAATGATTGTGTAGCATTTGAGTTAACAATATAATATAGACCCTTATTGATGACTAATTAATCATATAATTTGGTGAATTTTTTCTTTGAGTATAATATAAATAATTTTTTTTTGAGAAAGTGTACCTTGATCCGTGAGGTTTCAGCTGTTAATTTTGAAAATGACTTCTGAGTTTTTAACTGATCAGATCTTAGTTTTAAAATTTTAATTAAAACTAATTAAGCGAGCCAAAATGTTATGAGCACTGTCTCAAGAAGCTCACCACATATTTCTTACTTGGACTGTTCAAATTGAGGAGTTAAAGTTGAAGTTGAAAAATCATAAATAATCAAGGAGAAATCTGTTATATGTAATTATATCAATGCTTGCTAGTTTTTATAGCAAAGTTATTTAGGAATTAATAATTGTATCATCAACCCCATGTGTTTGGTGTCAGCTGTATGGATCCTTTATTCATTTTGCTTTGATTGGGCTATATAATTTGATTCTTGTCTTAACAACTTATTCATGTCCTTCCCTTTCTTGCAAATATTACATTACAATTTAGAAATTTACTCCCTTTCCATGTGAATGGTCTTTGCGAATTTTTGTGAGGTCAATATGACTTATTTGTTTATGTAAAATAGGAGGGGGAAGGAAGCATATTTCCTGATTATGGATTCCCTGTTAGAGAGGGAGTAGAGTTTGTTGCTTTCTCACTTGTGTTTCTATATTTTTGAATGTTACAGCAAAACTTGTCATCATTGCCAACAACTGTCCTCCTATCAGGAAGTCTGAGATAGAGTACTATGCTATGTTGGCAAAGGTTGGAGTTCACCACTACAACGGAAGTGAGTCCCTGTTATTCAATACATTCTTTCAGATACCAATATTTCTCTTTGTGCTCCCAAAGTGTCCTTGATATTGCTTTCAACATATAGCTTTCACTGGAGAGCTTTACTTTCTTTTAGGTGTCTTTCTTTTTCTGTCTGAGTTCTTGTATCAGCATTGTTTTGGAAAGATTTTTGTTTGGATTTGTGTATGGTTAAATAGAAGTGCTCATAATAGTGATCAGGATGGAATCCCACGAAAATCCCTTCTTTATTAGGATTGATACCATGATAAGGATATCGAAGCATAAATAGTCTGGGTATGCAAACTAAGTTTATATGTTGTGAGTTGAGGGGTGGGGGGAACCTGATTATATGTCAGTGGGCTAACTATTAACTAAATATTTAACAGCCTTATTGTTGTCTAGATTGGCTTATCTTCCGATGCATATTTGTTATGCCTGCATGGTTTCTCTTGCTTCTTATGGTTTCTTATTCTATGATCTTGTTGACTATCCTGTCAAAAGTTTTAGTGAGTTGCGTATGCTTTTCTACATCTCTTTGTGATACACCTCTTAGTGGAAGCTAAGTTTGTAATTGTTTCATTTTACTTGTTGGTAGATTGTTTTCAATACTTTTCCGGTTGTGTTATTGTTCCTTGTGCTTATTATATGTTTTCCATTATTGCAGACAACGTAGACTTGGGGACTGCCTGTGGTAAATACTTCAGAGTTTGTTGCCTCAGTATTATTGACCCAGGTAAACATATGGTGGAATTCTTCATAGTATCCATCAATCAATTGTATTTCTGGCCTTGGCTATTGTAAAAAAGTTGTTATTGTCTCGTCGATGTTCTAAATCTCTGCGGTTGTTACAGGTGATTCTGATATTATTAAAAGCTTGCCTTCTGACCAGTGAAAGAGGCATTTGATTTGATGCTGTTTTGGATCCTATTCAGAAGTTGCCCGATTGTTATTAAGAAAAAGTAGCTACAATTGATGAGTTTGACAACTTCATTTATCACTTGTTGCAAGAAAGTTTTGATGTTGAATCTGATTTTAACAATTTTCTTGAGTTATCTTTCCATCTACTTTGTAGACTTTAATCTGTTCTGCTCCCCTTCTCTTGGTTGAATTTCCATTACCCTTGTGTTATTTACTTTCTGGTCAGTTAGTTATCTGCCAGATTAATGATGAAATTCAACCTTAGTTAATATTCTCATCGAATGACGGCGGGGGAGCAAATCCAACTAGAAAAACTCGAGTTGAGCAAAGGTTGAATCCAATTGAGTTTTCTACCATACTCAATCGAGCTCGACCGCATTTGCTACAATACTCTTACCATAATGTAAGCTTCTGTTTGAACTCCATTGCTATACTGCTATCTATTTTAAAGTAGGTTTCTATTAATGTTTGAGTTCATAAATTCTATCTATTCACATGTACTGTCCACATAGAGTAGAGCAAGTTTTAGCAAAAAACATGTTTGTTACAAAATATGATGTGTTGTTTATTTTAAGAAAATTGAGTCATAATGAATTTTTTGGGGATTGTTATTTGATAAGGTGACACATACTACTTGTCGCCACCTCCTAATTTCAACTCAAACTTTGGCAGAAAAGTGAACACAAATGTCAAATAACAAATGCATCAACTTGGCACAATAGATGCAATACAACCAACTTTTTTTGACACCCAAAACATTGTTATTGTCACCCCTTAAGCTCTCTATAATATATTTCACAAGGTTCTCCCATTTTCTTCAGAATTTATAGTCAAAAGAATTGGCAAAAAGAGGTAATTTTTTTAGTTCCATATGTTTCAAGATTTTTGTTTCACAAAAATGGGATTTTCAGTAGTTTATGTTTTAATTTTGATGAATTTGTTGCGATAAGTTTTACGTATCCAGTGTAATCTCATAAATAGTTCTCGATAGAGTGGTGTATAGACACATCTTACCTTACTCCACGAAAATAGATAGCTTATTTTTATTTTTTTTAATAAGAGAGAAGCGTTGAAAACATCTCTAAATTAAACACAAATTATTAGTTTTATCACCAAAGTGTTAAAAACAATTCTAAATTTGACGAGAATTTGTGGTGTATTTCACTCAGAATCAATGCTTAGTTGTTGTTTTATAACAATTTTTCTTTTATAAATATACCCTTTATCAGAACTTCCACATAATGCCACAGTAGTGTAGACCTTTTATACTAGTATGATCAATATACTGATAGCTTCAATAGTTCATTAAAATTTCGCTTAATTTGATATTGGATTATAGTTTCTTTCTTTCTTGCAATTGTCTAGAGCCCTAATGTAAATCACCACTTGGTGTTGGAATATATAAGACGTATAACACTTCTTGGTTATAGGTTGCTTCTTCAAGCGTTCTGGAGAAATATGGAAGAGATGATCGGAGAAATATTATGTTCTCATGAGCTAATGCCACAAGAAAAGTAATGATGTCTATAACTTTAAAGCTCTGAAGTAATATCTCTCCAGTCACCTCATCCGTATTTCTCGAATAGGTTGCTAATTCAAGCATTAGAGAAATATGGAAGAGGTGATTGGAGAAATATTTCTAGGTGTTACGTCGTGCAATTGCAAGATTTATCATTAGGTACGTGTGCGACAACATTTTGGGGAAGGCCAAACAATATAGGTATTTATCCTCTTCTAAGTAATCTAGATACACAATGTTAGAATAGTTGGCTTTCTTTTACTTTATGTTGCTAGGCTTAAAATTCTGTCATGTTATTACCAAAACTATCTCTTAACGAGGATGGAAATGTTTGTTTTGCGTAATATTTGTTTGTCTAAGATGACTTTCGAAAGATAAAACAAGGATAAGTGACTTCGATGGCCTATTACGAGGTATTCCGTACCTACACTGGAGCGTCGAAAAGTCCCATATTTGTGGGTGAAGCGCTCCTTAACAAAAGTTGACTCCGTACCCAAGGAGACTCGAACCGGAGAACTCTTGGTTAAGAATGAAAAAGTACTTACCACTCTTTAATTCTTACTTTGAGTGGATTAATTATCTTGTCAATTCTTGCTCCTTATAATTTAGTTATATCATGAATTTGTTTATTCATGGTCATCTATACCTTACCAAAGCTATTTCCTTATTTTCGCCTCTTCAGTCGTAAATGTTGAATTATAGAAAATGCATAATACATATATAAATGAGTTCATTTAACTTGACCTCATTTCTTACTTATGCTCTCCACCTTTAGATGTCCACAAGCAGACAATCTAACTTCTATAAAGTTGAACAAGTAGACATGAGTTTTACGTAGCATAATACATGTAGGAGATCACACACGACACAAATTGCCACATAGGATGCCGCGTAGGAAGTGTGTGTCTATTTGTGCAGCTCCATACAAGTTTAAGTTTACTTGTGCACACCCAAATTGAAGGACATAAATGTGAAATGAGGTCAAGTTAAATGGTATATTCCTACCTAAAATATTATATCGGAAGAGTGAATTATGTAGAAGTCTGGCTTCTCATTTAGCAAATGTTAGTGGTTATTATATATATAGGACGTGGACTAGTGGAATTTTTGTCTATTTAATTATGTTTGATCGAAAAACTTTCCTTTCATGCTCTAGCCTTTCTTGTAGATCTCGAAAGAAGCAAGCCCTGACTGAGGAGGAAAGTGTATTCGAGAACTTCCTACACGTATATAGTAATCAACGATTTGTGAATATTGTAACATTACTGTTGGAGTCCCACATCGTCTGTGGGATGGGAATATGGACTCCTAATATGGTCTTCATATGAAGAATTAGGTGAAGATGATAAGGAAATTGAGTCGAGAAATATTCCTTTGACTCTGGTATAGGCGACAAAGAAACATTGCGATCCTCAATTCTCTTATCATTCACATCTTTTTTTTTTTAAAAATAATGCTGGATGATATCTTTAAGTAACGATGTTGCAATCTCTCACTAAATACAGAAATTGGACGATCAAGAGAAGAAGTAGAAGAAGAAATAGAAGATAGTTGGACAAGGTGAATTTCCTATATACTTGGAACTATTATTGTCTCGATCCCTAATATACTTGGAGTTTCAAGATACTTATGTGGTTTAGTTAGAGTGGGCTCGATCCCATATTGGTTGGAGATGAATTGGTGGTCTACTTATATGAATCCGGACAATCCCCTCTCATGAACTAGCTTTTGGGGTTGAGCTAGATACAAATGCTATAGCTTTACATATTTCATGTTCTCGTGTTGTTTTCACGTGATATAGTACCACATGATGGTACCATTTAATAATGTCAAGCGATATTCCTATAGAGCTCAGATCCATATGAGGCTCGTCGCATAGCTGAAACCCTAACACCTTGTCTTCAATTGTCTTTTTGTCCATGCCATTGGCTTGAGATCCGATTGTACAATTTTCTCTGCCTTTTTTTGAGTCCGAACTAAATCTTGTCTCTTTTCTTGCCATGTACACCTGGACGAGTTTTACTCAATGCAATATACTCACACAATCTCAACAATCAAAGTTGCAATAGAGAAAATGAGGACTCACACAAACTGCATTTTGATGTAATCTCTCTGTAAAAGACGAGTTATATGTCTATTGATATAGGCATTGAAATGTTTAAACTTTTTTTTTCTCGATTTATGATTTTTATAAATCTAAAAGCACCAGAGGAAAGCTAAACAAAAGCGGACCTAGAATTTTGTACAAGGTTGTGTTTTGTGGCAATTGATACATAACTTAACATTGTTATATGTTGGGATAATGCCTAAGTACCCCTCAACCTATGCCCAAAATCTCAGAGACACACTTATACTATACTAAGGTCCTATTAACCCCCTGAACTTATTTTATAAGTAGCTTTCTACCCCTTTTCAGCCTACGTGGCACTAGTTTGAAAAAAAAAATCAACCATCATTGGGCCCACAAGATATTGCCACGTAGGCCGAAAAGGGGTAGAAAATTATTTAAAAAATAAGTTCAGGGGGTAATAAGACCTTAGTATAGTATAAGTGTGTCTCTGAGATTTCGAGCATAGGTTGAGGGAGTACTTGTGCATTATCCCTTATATGTTTGTAAAGATTAACCTAAGAATATATCTAGTTCACATTACCTTGTAGCATTGATAAAATGTTTGATGAATATCTTTATATGTAGAAATAATTTTTTTTTCAAGTTTAAGCATCTTTTATGCGCATCCAAAACTATATGCCATAGATATAAGTTGACTCCAACTTAAATGACATATGTATGTATTATACATTATATATTTAATGTTGTCCGAGTTTTCTTTCGATCTCGACATAGCCATATTAGTACACTAATTTTTTCTCATTTTACTTATAGAACATGGTAACTTTTCTATGCTGATTTGCAATATGAGGGTCGAACTTATTGATGCATGCTGTAATTTTTTTAGTAAAATCATTTATCTTTTGATTTTTTAAAGCATATTTATAAATTATAAAAAGATTATGATAAGTTATAATAGTTATAAATTCAAATAAAAATAAATAAATTACTCATTAGTCAATCTCTAAATAATAATAATTAAAGACAGAGAAGAGCAGAAATATTCTGTCAAAATATGTTTAGCTTGAGGGCCATTTATCTGCATCTTAGTAATTTCTTTCTTATAAGAAAAAGTAGACTGCCAAATGCTTTTTGTCATTTTTTTTTTGGTTTCTCATATTGGAGCCTGACTAAATTCAGATTCGCATTGAGAAGTATTGGAAGTAAAGCGCTACTTAACAAAGGGGTCTCTGTACCCGAAACCTCTAGGGTAAGGATGAAAGGGTGCTTACCACTCCTTATTTCTTCCTTTGAGTGAAATAATTACCTCGTCGAATTCTTGCTCCTTATAGTTTAGTTCTTTCATTAATTTCTTTGTTCACGCTCATCTTTAACTTACATTATTTTCTCTCATCTTCTAATTAAATGTTTAGTGAATTATAATAAAAGACATAATACATAAACATGCTATTTAACTTGACCTCATTTCACATTTTTGCCATCAAATTTTGGGTGCACACAAGTAGACACTCTAACGAGTACAAATTTGAACAAGTAGATACATGAGTTATATGTGACATAATACACGTAGGACTCAACACACGCCACAAATTTCCATGTAGGATGCCATGCAAGACGTGTGTGTCTATTTGTGCAACTTGTCACAAGTTTAAGTAATCACTTGTGCACACCCAAATTGAAGGGTATAAATGTAAAATGAGGCCCATTAAAGGGTATATTCCTACCTAAAATATTATACCGGAAGAGTGAATTTTGTAGAAGTTCGGCTTCTCATTTTTAAAGTGTTAGTGGTTACAGAAAATATTATATTGGACGTGGACATACTAGTGAAAGTTTTTGTCTATTTAATTATGTTCGATCCAAAAACTTTCCTGTCATGCTCTAGCCTTTCTTGTAGATCCGGAAGAAGCAAGCACCGACTAAGTAAGAAAGTGTATTCGAGAATTTCGTGGATATATATAGTAATCAATGATTTGCGAAGATTGCAATATTATTTTTGGAGTCCCATATCGTCAGTGGGATGGGAATATGGATTCCTTATATGATAATGGTCTTTGGTAATATGAAGAATTAGGTGAATATGCTAAGGAGATGGAGTTGATAAATGTTCCCTTGACTCTCGTATAAGCGACAAAGAAACACTGCCATCCTCAATCTTCTCATCATAAGCATCTTTTTTTAAAAAAATAATGTTGAATGATATCTTGAAGTAACGTGTTGCAATCTCTCACTAAATATAGAAATTGGATGATCAAGAAAAGAAGTAGAAAGAAGACATATGAGATAGTTGGACAAGGTAAACTATATACTTGGAACTATTATTGTCTCGTTCCCTAATCTACTTAAAGTTTCAGGATACTTATGTGATTTAGTTAGAGTGGGCTAGATCACATATTGGTTGGATAATGAAATGGTGATCTACTCATATGAACCTGGAAAATTCCCCTCACGAGCTAGCTTTTTTGGAGTTGAGATATTTCAAATGCCATAGCTTTACATGTTTCATGTTCTCGTGTTGTTTTCACGTGATATAGGACCACGTGGTGGTTCCATTTAATAATGTCAACCAACACTCCTATAGAGCTCAGATCCATATGAGGCTCGTCCACACAACTGAATCTCCTTAACACCTTGTCTCCTCTTGTCTTCTTGTCCACGTCATTGGCTTGAAATCCGATTGTACTATTTTCTCTCCCTCTTCCGAGTCCCAAGGGAATGTTGTCTCTTTTATTGCCAGATACACCTGGACGAGTTTTACTCAATGCAATATACTCGCAAAAACTCAACAATCAAAGCTGTAGTAGAAAGAAAATAAAGATTCAACATTCTAGGGTGCCACGTAGGACGTGTGTCTATTTGTGTAACTTGATACAAGTTTAAGTATATATTTTTGCACACCCAAATTGAAGGGCATAAATGCGACATGAGGTAAAGTTAAAAGGGTATATTCCTACCTAAAATATTATATCGGAAGAATGAATTATGTAGAAGTCTGGCTTCTCATTTTGCAAGTGTTAGTGGTTACACAAAATATTATATCGGACGTGGACATTCTAGTGGAAGTTTCTGTCTATTTAATTATGTTCGATCCAAAAACTTTCCTTCCATGATCTAGCGTTTCTTTTAGATATGGAAAGAAGCAAGCACCAATGGCAGACGAAAGTATATTCTAGAATTTTCAAGATATATATAGTAATCAATGATTTGCGAATATTGCAACATTATTGTTGGAGTCCCACATCGTCTGTAGGATGGGATTATATCGTCTGTGGGATGGGAATATTGACTTATTTATCACAATGGAGAACCTAACAGTTTTTATAAAGACCTCAATCCATCTCAACCATCTCTCACCAAACTCCATTTATTTTAACATATTGAGTATTTCTCTTTTTCGACCTTTTTTAATAAGATTGTAAAATTAAAAGCACTCTTAACTACAATTCCAATATATTCACTGTGCTAATTTGGGAATTCTTCCTTTTTCTCCCATTTTTTGTCCACAATTAATTGAAAGTTCTTATTTCTCGAGTTATCCCCACATGTTGTCCGCATGTGAAGCATCTCACCCTATGTTTCTTTGCATTTTTTAATATTCTATTGTTAAAACGATATTGTGAAATCACTTTAAACATACAAATTAATAAATTCTTCAAATTTACTTCATCTCCATTAAAGACCCACTCCTCTTCACTTTGCATTACAATTTTCTTACTTAAATAGTCTTGCATATAGAAGTAAGATACACCAATATTGAAGATTGGAAGTGTAGCGAAGGTAAGAGTTCTCCATATTCCCTTTAGCTAATCATGAAAGAGAATGTGGACCATCTTTTTGAAGACGGTAATATTGTGCTCTCCAAGTTTGATACGTATAATTCCTTTTCGAAGCTGCAAATTAAAAAAAAAGAAAAAAAAAGAAGAAAGGTCAAAGTTATAATCGATAAGTAGGAGACCTCACATCGATCTATCATCTTCATATACTTTTACTTGTTCACTCATTTCTTCTTGCAAGGCGATTCAAACCAAAGGGAGGATTTTCTACTTTTAAGTCTGTGACATAAGTACTTAAACATGAGAAGGGTTTCAATGTTTACTAGATTCCTCTACTATAGAAGTTATAATCGATATCAGGATTTGATATCTAAAGAGTAAATCATCCTTAATCATTGTGTATGAGAATTCATTGTGAGAATCAACAAACGATTTCATATAATTCTAAAGTTGAGAACGGGATATTCTCTTCTAAGACAGAATCATCAAATCATATCATAACATAGCACCGTACTAAAAGTGGGAACAAAAATCAAAAGATGAATCACTAAAATACCCTTGATGGATTTCTTCTTTATTTTCATAAACCAAATTAAGAGGTAATAAAAAATAAAAATGAAAAAAAAAACAGTTACAATGAAGAAGAAATACCAAAAGTTGCATTTTTCCTTCATATATATACACACACATCAATTCTTCTGCAGGATCATACAATATATAAGCATTTGTTATCTAAGAAAGAAATAATTAAACAGAATGGACGTTCATCAATTTTAGCTTTGTACTTTTAAACAAATTTTTGTTACGAATTTACAACATCAATATAATTTATATGTGTATATACTAAACAAAGCTGTATACAAATTATAGAAAAGTCATGGTGTCCTATACAAAGCTGTATAATAATTCTTGACCACTGCCAATATAAGCTTTCAAAAGGAATGTATGTGCTTCACTTTTTCAATAATCTGCTTCACCTTCTTCAATGGCTCTTCGTGCAAGTAGGATGGATCATCGAGCTCTGAAGCTAAGCTCCGATCACCAAGAAAAGCACGAAATGATTCTGCAACTGAATTTGACAGAGAACTGAGATTATATCCCCCTTCTAAGAAAAACACGCAACGTCCCCCACATAAATCTTTAGCAAGTTGCTTAATGCTGGAGGCTAGCATGTAATATGTTCCTGTTGTGAACTGTAAGCTGGCAAGTGGATCCAACAGATGGGCATCATACCTGAAAACTTTAGACGACACGTTAGCATTGCTGTATATCCGACCTCATTACAAGACCAGAAACGGAATATATGAGGCATGATAGTAGTGAATAGACCAAATATTCCGACCTCATTGCATTGCTAGTTTAACAGACAACAGAAGCATAATACATGATCCATTATTAACGTCAAAAGAAAAAGGAACCACACAGTAGAGAACAGTAAAGAAAAGTAAAAGGAACTGTGTTAGAATCATATGTGTTGTTTTATATTCCGAATGTTGAGACTATCTAGACGGAATAGAAAATTACCCAGCTGAAACAAGGATTATATCTGGCTTGAACCTTTGAGCACACGGTACAATAACTTCATCAAAAACTGTTCGCATTGCTGTATCACCGGATCCTCCAGGTAAAGGGAGGTTTAGTGTTGATCCTTCACCACTTCCACAACCAATTTGATCTATCTTACCCGTTCCTGGATAACTTCCAGCCTACATCGATCCAAGGATAAGTGAGCATAACTGATAAAAATCCGTGCAATTGTTAAGTTCCAGACTCTATTAATTCTACACATCGAGGTGCATAGCTAGCATATAATGAAAGCAATCTTATTTTCCTCTAAACACAATGTTTGGTTGAGGTGAAAGGTGGAACGCAGTAGCAAGGGTGAAGGTTGTTTCCTTGTAATGTAGCAAGTAAAGAAGATAACAACAACATACTCAGTGTGATTCCACAAGTGGGGTTTGGAGAGAGTAGCATGTAGGCAGACCTTACCCCTACATATTGTGGGGTAGAGAGATTGTTTCTGATAAACCCTCAGCTCGAAAGAAAAGAGAATCCGGTTACATGGCAGCACAAAAATATGACAGCAAAATAACAAGATACAAGGCAAATGAAGCAACAGATAGTACTACACATTGAAGAAAACGAACTGCGCCGATTACTAAATAATACTAGTAATAAGGAGAAGCAGATAGAGGGATAGCCCCATGCATCTTCCACACAAAGAATGACAACACTCTGCTACCTATCAACCTTCTAGCCTAATCCTCGCCCTCCACATTTTCTTATCTAGGGTCATGTCCACGGTAAGCTAAAGCTGGCACATGTCACGTCTAATCATATCCCCCTATCTAATAGTAAAAAGATACAAGGCAAATGAAGCAACAGATAGCAACAAATATTGAAGATACGAAACTATGATTACTAAATAATACTACTATTTTGGGACGGACGACAATCATAATTGATGTGTTCAAGCAAATAAATTTCCTGAGGAGTAATCACCAAGTCCCAAGCACCCTTGAACTGAACAGTGTCAAGAATAATCATTTTTGTGGATCACTAGATTTGGCTCAATTATTAGATCAAACCAAATGATCTTTCGTTCATACAAACTACATTTTATAATAGCAGTTGGTTCAGAGGTAAAAATGTCAATATTTCCTAAGCAATTTGTTCGATGTAATGTGTAGCTTACTTGGTGAGTTGAAAGGAAAAATATATCTGGGTCCTCGTAGAAGGCATCATTGGTTCCATTTCCATGATGGACATCAAAGTCTATGATAAAAACACGTTGCAATCCATGCATTCTTTGAGCATAACGAGCAGCAATAGCAATATTTCCAAACACACAAAAGCCCATGGCCCCCTTCGGAACAGCATGGTGACCAGGAGGTCGAATTAGTGCAAAAGCGACAGGAGGATCTTTGCTTACTCTGGATGCTGCAACCTGAAATATCAGATGAAACAATTAATCCAGCTTTGAGAGACAGAAGTTTACCAACAAAACGCACCCTAAACTGATTGCTACATTAAACGAAGTATTCCGAGTAAACTGAAATATTACTAACAGCTTAGACGGATACATTACCACTGAATCAACCAAGGAAATCCCAGCTCCAGCTGCCAATAACGACTCTTGGAATGTCTGCATCATATTATATCAAGATCAGAGTTCACATTGCCATAGGAACACTTGGTGTTAAATCTTTCTGACGGAACTCAATAATTTTAGGAACCTATTAGCTCATACATATTCAAAAACTTTCCTGATTAAGAATAGTTATTTCATTAAATATTAGAGAACTTCGAGCATGAAATTTACTAAAATGGAATGTTAATGTCTATGGGGTTATGCACAGGGCTGAGCTTTCATAGTTACACTCCTACATCATCATGCATAATGAAATAGTATCTCCATATGTTTAGTTGATCAACATAAAGCACCATATATGACCACTTGTGCCTCATTAGGATGATATTGTAGACTCATACAAGAACAATTGACAGATATCAACCACCCTACTTAGTGCACTTAAAATAGCACTCCTGAACTATAGGATATCCTTTAATAGAATCAATCCACTTGAAAACACCCTTAAAAATCTTGAATCAAAGTTTGGATACTATCCAACTCCACAAAATTCATCAGTCATCACAGGTAAGCTAATCCTAGTTATTCTAGGAAGCCAAGCATTTATACTAGGTCTAATTATTCCATAGTAATGATTTAGGTATTTCACATTTATTTGAGTTTGTCCATTAATTAGTATACTATATGTATAATATTTTCTTGCAATTTATGTTATTTAGAAATGTAGAATAAAGTATAAATTTATATTAAATAAAAATTTTGAAATAGTAAAATTTTATATCCCATGAATTTATGAAAATTATATAAAGTGATTATTTGGGAAAAAGAAAGAAAAAAATTATATCATGAAATAAGAAAATAAGACTAAAACAGAACATGCTGAGGAGAGAGGAGAAGATTCCTTTTTAGAGAGTAAAATAGAGGATTGGGCTGGAGTTGGTTGTCTAAAAAAATAGAGAACTCTATATTTGGAAAGTAAAATAGATTTTAAGGTTGGAGATGCCCTCAGGATTCTATTTCCAGTTGTTCTCATACTACATCAACAACAAGAAGCTAAAATAACTGAAGTTTGGAGTAACCAAGGCTGGGATCTTAGTGTAAGAAGGCCTCTAAATGACTTAGGATATGTCAGGATTCATAGAATTCCTCAACATTCTCAATTTCTTCAAAAGGAGTCTCACTAGAACAAGATAGGTTACGGTGGCTCAGAGACAGTCAAGGGATCTTTTCAGTCAAGACAGCAAATTATACGAGGAATCAGAACAACCACCTTAATGTGCAGTGGCCCTGGAAGCATTTATGGAAACCAAGACACCATACAAAGTGATGTGTTTTGTTTGATTCGTAGTTAAGTTGGTCCACTTGACACAAGAGAGACCGCAGAGGAGGAATACACCTTTGCATTATCTGCCATCTACGTGGAAGAAATGCAGAAGCAGATAGTCATCTTTTTGGCTATGTAAGGTGACTTCTCAACGGAGGGGCATATTTGTAGCTATGATTCGTTTAAGCCGGACAATACTAATGAAAACACTAGATATGCTATGAGCAGATTCATGAGCAGGAAGCACCACCTCAGTCTACTCCAGAGATAATCAACCAGGTTCTCACTTATATAAGTGAGTTATCCGATCAGGGCCAGGCATCCAACTGTTTTCTGCACCAGCAACTCAAGTTCAAGGAGTACAACATGCAGCTATTGTGGCTCCCCGCATGGATGCGTCCTTGGAAACATGCATGTTTCCTCGATTAACTACAGGGCCTATAATGACTAGTGACCATCATGATCTCTTTATTGAGTTCTTAAAGTTGAAACCTTTGGTCTTCAAGAATACTGAATCTGAAGATCTGACCTACCAGTTTCAAGAGGATGCTAAACTGTGGTGGCAGTCTCATGTTGAGTGTCGAGGCATCACCTATGACTTGCGCAACATTTTCTAGATTCTTCATGGAGAAGTATATACTCGGAGTTTGAGGGACAAAAGGAGATATAAGTTCCTGAACATAGAGCAAGGAAAGATGCCGGTTGCAGCCTGAGGCCAAATTTCGTGCATTATCCAGATATGCCACTCAACTTTGCTTCAGTCTGCAAGAGCGGATTCGCCACTTTTGTGAAGGGACTGAGGTAAGATTTGCAGATTCCAGCTTTACAGGTAACTGCTTTTGCAAAATCTTTACAAGAAGCGGTTGATTTTGTGATAGAGGTATTGAAGGTGAAGTAAGATGACTTTACCAAGGTGTCAATATTTAAGAACTTTCATAAAAGAGGTGAGGTTAGTGGTTCTTACTTTAGAGGCGGAATTTCGGGGGTTATCCACCCCGTCCTCATCATTTTTCATTGCAAGTTCCAGTTGAGGGTCCGTCGCCAACTAGTAAGCCTTTTTCTGTGTTTGGGGGTTATCTTCAGTCTTTCATCTTCATAGAAAACCTACTCTCGACTCCAGAACTTGCTATGGATGTGGTGAGGCTGGGCATATTAGGAAATATTGTCCAAGGCAGATCCAAGCTCAGTATGATTAGAGTTACAAATCTCCAGCAGTTAGAGGTAGGGGTGGTCATGGTAGAGGTTGTCATTCTGGAGGACGTGGTGGCCAAGGTAATCATGGTCACCAGTTCAACCAGGGTGGCAGGCAGGTTGAAACTACTGGACACAGCCCGATAGAGGCAATGGATAGACAAGCGATAGACCCATTTTATGCTTTCCCTAGGAGGCCAGAGGTAGAGGCATCTGATGTTGTTATCACATGTACTCTTCTGGTCTGTGATTGCATGACTTTTGTATTGTTTGATTCGAGATCCACATTTTCTTATATTTTTCCTTATTAGCTAATGGACTTTATTTACATTGTGACTTGCTTGACATACCTATTCGTGTCTCTACTCCTGTCGCCAGTGTGTTAGTTGAGAAGATGTATAGGTCCTGCCTTGTGACTTTTATGGGGAGCAAAACTTATGTAGATTTGATTACACTGAGATGGTTGATTTTGATGTAATTCTGGTATGCTTGGCTTTTGCTAAATTTTGCTATCTTAAATTATAATGTTAAGACTGTAACTTTGGTTAAGCCTGGGATAGGTCCGCTGGTATGGGAGGGTGACTATGTTCCACCCCAGTTCACATTATCTCTTTTCTTCGTGCTAAGAGGTTGGTGAGTAAGGGTTGTTCAACTTTCATATCTCAGGGATGATACTTCCAAAGTGCCATCGATTGAGTATGTTTTGATAGTTCGTGAGTTTGTGGATGTTTATCCTGCAGACCTGCATAGTATACCAATTCATAGGGATATTGATTTTCGTATTGACCTAGAGTCGGGGACTCGCCCCATTCCATCCCCCTTATAGAATGGCCCAGCTGAGTTGAGAGAGTTCAAGGCCCAACTTTAGGAGTTGTTAGGTAAAGGCTTTATTAGACCGAGTGCCCCTCCTTGGGGTGCTCTAGTTTTATTTGTGAAGGAGGATGGTAGTTTTCGTGTAACGACCTGTTTAGTTGTTTTGAGCAGCAGACTTTGATTTTGGAAAAACTGGCAAGACAACGGGCCCCACGACGGACCGTCGTAGGCACGACAGACCGTCGCAGGGCCTCGTTTCAAAACACTTAGAAAATCTGAAAATTGGGTACTGAAATTGACTCTCTGAACTTCGTAACGAAATGGCAGGACGGACCGTCACAGGTGTGACGGACCGTCACAGGTGTGACGGACCGTCACAGAGCCTTCAGTGGAAATCCACTCTCTGGACCTTGCGACGACCTGCAGGACGGACCGTCGCAGGCACGACGGGCCATCGCAGGTTGCGCAATCCCAGTCTGGGTCGGATTTCTTTACACGTTTTAAGGGACGTTTTGGACTATTCCTACTTTAATTATAAAGTTAGTGGGTTAATGTTAATAAGTCTAATTACTTGGGGGTTAAAAGAGGTAACCTTAAGTTAATTAGTGGGTTATTATTGCCATCTCTTATTCTTAATTATATGCTAATTAGGGTAAAGGAAAGAGGGTTTGAATAAAGAAAATAGAAAGAACAAGAGAGAGAGAGGATCGATCGAACGAGGAAGAGAGAAAACACAAGCTTCGGGGAATTTACTTGCTTGATCACTAATCTTCGGTGGAGG